TTAGGATGAAAATATCATTTAATGTTTTGCTCGAAAATCGTGCATAGTGATTTTTAGATTTGGACGAGTTTGCTGGTTGGGGCGTCACATTGAGCACGCACAAGTTGTACACCCCACACATACAATGTTGCAAACTCAATGTTCGAATATTCCCCTCATGTGAATTCATTCGTTCAATATTCAAAAAGTTTGAATGAGACACCATTGTGCTCTATTCTCAATAGAGTGAAAACTGAACAAGAAACTAGTGGTTTCAAAACTACAAAGTAAGAATAATGTTATTCTTTGGATCTTTCTCTCGTTTTTATCTCAATTTGTCAAAGTATTTCGCAGTACAGATTGGCCAACTCTGTGTGAAACCACACCAAAGGACATTGTATGCAATCAATGCAGAGCACAATGTGATTTTTGCACAAAAATTCAAATGTATTCCGAAGAAATCCAAATCACATATAAGTCAATAAGGGAATCTCTTTATATCCATCCCATGGGTAATACCATAAAGTGAAAAAGAAGAGCGAGGGTCGGAAGAGAGACCGACGATAATATCCACCGAAAAGATAAAGTCGGGATGAAAAATAAATTGCTTTGACATATTCACCATTTGTCAGGTTAAGAACGTATTAATGCTGATGTTGTCCAAATAAATCTTTAATTTATTCTATTTGTCCCTTTCATTTTGTCTATTTTTGTTGTTCTTGTTTTTCAGAGCAATCAAAAAATCGCCTGCGAAATCCACAGTTTGGGTCGAGTTTCAATGCACAGGATGGATTCAAAATTGTTGTGGAAGAGTCAAATAATTTTGATGACAATGATGTGGCCACCAATAGCACAAATCAATCAACGCCACGTGATAGTTTAGACATAGGCTCACCAATAAACCCCTATCTATTGTCACCATGGCGAGAAACGCGAAAACATTCGCTGCCATCTCAACAGGTGACAGAAGGAATAACAGCGAGCCAAGTGCGTCGTCTGTCGGAACGAGGCGGCGAAGGATCGGGACCGTCACCAAGGGTATGTAATTTTACTTTCTATTTATCTACAATTTACATTTCACAATATGAAATCTCACCGTAACCGTTATCATTTTACATTTTACATTTTACATTATAATTAAATCATTTCAATTTTATCCAATCTAATTTCCTGCTGATTTTTTAATGCATTTCACATTAATTGTGCATGCAAATACAAAATAGGAAGCGGAATTTTTAGCTACATTATCACAAGCGCCACAGCCATCCGGTCGACGACATTCAGTTGTAACCATATCGAAGGTTCCATTTTCAGTGTTTGGACGCGGACGACGTGAAAGCGTTGCAGCATTTCCAACAGGCGGTCGGTACGTACACTCTTTGCTTCTATTGCAAATGGTTTAGTTTTTTGTTTAATGAATCTAACGATTTCCATGTAATTCACAATGCGCTCGGTTATGGTTTTACCATGAAAGAATCCATACAAAAGATTACAATTCCGGATTATTCCTGGCTTTTGCTATTTATAACTGAAAATTCCATGGAATGCCCAGTTTTTTTTCTGTTATTTTCAAGATAATTTTTCTCTCTTTTGTTCGTCAAACTTTTATCGGTAAACAAGCGTACATCCGATTTTCATCTAGATTTTCTGCGTAATAAAATCAGTTTTAGTTTGTTCGATTAGATATATGCGCTCGACAAAAAATCTAATAACAGAAAAATTCTATAGACCTTCAATGTAATGGAAAAAAATGATGACTTCAAGGCAATGAAAAAAAAAACTCTATTATTTTCATATTCTTTACCATTTCTAGAGTGCTGGCTTCACGACGAGAGAGTCAACAATCAACTGGACCACCAGCAACCGATCCTATAGGCAGCATTCACAATTTACAGTTGGACATAATGGATGATATTGTTCAAGCGCGAAAGGCTCGAATGAAATTATGGAATACAAGCAATGAAAAAGTGTGCGAAGTTCAAACTTACAGCGATGCAGGTAATTCGAGTGCAACACGATATACAAATCGGCGATATTCCGATTTTGTTGGTTCAACACCATTGGCACCAATACCAGCCGCATCATTGCGACGCGCTTCTGAAATGCCAGTACCAATATTGACACCATCAACATCTGCCGCTGCCAAATCGCCTTCGACAAGCTTTTTCAAACGAACTGGCATCGCTGTTACAAATACCGATTTCAAATCATTAATTACATCGCTGGCATCGTCGGCAACTGAAATCAATAAAGTGGATGACACATCACCGGGCAAAACAAAACCATCAACATCATCTTCAAATACATTAGCACCCGACCAAGGTATATCAAGATCGAATCGATCAAATAGTTTTGATGTGTCCATTTTACACAATGCCAAACAAATGGTGACCGGAAATTCGAGCGACAAATCAAATGCGGCATCATTATCGGGATGGTTTGAAAAGCGTCATCAACCAATGTCACGTAAAAAATCATTACGGAACACCGCCAATGTAACGGTCTCTTTTTCCAAAGAAGTATTCGATCGTTTTAAGGAAAAGGAATTGCAAAAAGAGAAAAAATCAAAGAGTCATTTTCGTTGGGACAATAAAAGTGCATTTGTCGACCCGCACATCATTGGCAATGCGATTGAAGGATTTTTACGAAAATCGGCTCGCCATGGAAAAGATTCACGTTCAAAACGTAGCGGTGGCGGTTCGTCGTCGTCATCATCGTCATCAAAACCATCGTCATCGTCGAGCTTTTGGTTTGGTAAAAGTGATGAAGACGATTCGAAGGATTCGTGCGATTCGTCATTGTGCTCAACACTCAAGGATCTATTTGTAAAATAATATACCTGGGGATTCAACTTGAGATGGTAAGTGATTGAATGTGAATCAGTCATTTGGAACTATATACTATATCTTTCGCTCTGTATTCGATGGGAAATGAAGAGTAAGCACGCATCAAAAAGGATAGGAAATGAATGAGAATGAGACAAAGTGATAGAAAGTAAGCAAAATTGAACGATTCGATTTATCAATTAAATGTGTTCAACTAATCGGGTGATTGAGTGTGAGTCAAACGTTCAAATTGGACCATTGCAGAGAATGGAAATGATGAATAAATAAATGTGACGAATTGGAAGCCTCATCTGAAGCATTCATTTCGCCGCATCAAACTGAACACTCTTAACTGGTTTGTGCGCGCTTGTTTGAGCATTTTTTTTTTTTGCTTAAAAGCTTTTCATCCATTCCATCCAGCATTCATTTCTAACTCAAATACATATCTATCTCAACGACGTTGAATGTTATTGCTCTGATGCCACTGCTGTTATTGTTGGCAGGTTACCTTTTGATTTGAACGCGCGTGTCAATCAATTCTAAATATAGTGCCACGTTCACCGAAAATGTACGACGTCATACATCAAATCAAATACAACAAAAAAAATCGAATAAATTGTCTGCTAGTGGTATAATAAAAATCATACATTCATTATTCACAATTCATTGAGTCTGTCCTCTGTATTCACGGGAGGAAGTTTTATGACGAAAATTGAAATGTTCATTGAATAAAATAAGCCATTTGTTCTTATCAAGCATCATTTTCAGGATTACATGTTTCGTTTGAGCGACAATCTTCCCCATTCGCATCGTATTTTTGGAATGCGACGTGTGGCGAAAATTTTCCGCGACAAAATTGTCACATTTTATGGAAATGATGTTGCCATTTTCCCTTTTTCCTTTGCTAATTGGACGGACGAACGGATGAATAACAACAATTTGTTGGCATTCGTAAACATCAACTCACGAAATGATAAATGAAGCAGGTGCTCCAAACCAAATGAGAACTAATTTCGCTCAATTACATCTTGCTATCCCGCCGAAATCAAAACGAAGCGGAAATCATCAAACGATATCATGAAATTACGGCATGGAGAGAACTTTAATCCGGCAGTTAAGCTCAGGGACCAATGACGAACATTTTCCGAGTGATGTGAGCTTCGACGCTCAATGACGGCGGCAAAACATGACAGAGTGTGTGAGAGAAAAAGAGAGAGAGAGAGAGTAGAAATCAAGGCAACGCCATAAGCACAATCATCACACAGATTTGTTGGGAATCCAACTTTCGATGTGATTGCTATTGAGTTATTCAAATTGAATCAAAGACTCTCCAAATACGCGTATATGTCGGTTGCTTCTCTATGAGATCGATAAATACGTTGCAAATACATAATGTATGTTGTGTTAAGTTAAATACATACGGTCTATCTTTAATGTATCTCCTTTTTTATTCGTTTTTATCTATCTCTTCATTTGGTTTCATCGATTTTGGTCTTACATTGTATGTTATATACGTGTACGCACACGTCTCAATCATATCGTTACAAAATGATGTGGTGGGTTAACTGCGAAAGACACATAATTCTCTTTTTATCTTTCGTTTTCCTTTCTCTCTCTCTCTCTCAATGTGAGCTCTCATTCCATATGCAAGTGCTACTAACGAAAAGGAGCTTTTATTCGAGATACACAAGCGTATATATATATAGTCGCACGCGACTCCTCTTCGCTCTCTCTCGAAGTCTATACAGAGAAAAGTTGATTCTCGACGATGGAAGAACTAAAGATTGCATATATATCGACATCGATGGAAAGCTCGTACGTGTGTGGTTTAAGATATTCTATTATCATTTAATACTCATTGATTATTCAAGCGGAAGAGAGTAATATGAATGATTCGAGATTACAGTCGATATCATGTTTTTGTGTTCGCCCAAAATACCAAAGCGAAAACGAGTATTTTAAGTGGTTTTTACAGTGAATTGAATAAGCTCAATTCGATTTAAGTGCTTTTTCATGCGTTGTGTGTTTTTTTATCTCTCATCCACCTTGCTGAAATGAATGCAAAGCCGTCAAATGTAAATGTTGATCGTTTTAAATCTGATTATTCATCAACGAATCATAATAATTGTCAGTTTGTTAAAATCTGTTTGTTTTTTTAACGTGCAAACTTTGCAAGCAATATTTTACAATTTACATCGAAAATACGCACAAAAGTAGAATGTATTTGGATTCAGACCATCTCTCGCTACCCGAAAGAAAAAACGAAAACTTTACACAAAGTTTGACTTCTATGCACGCACACGCAAAAGTTGAAATGTTTGACAGCACACGCTCACAATTGCCACTTCGATTGTTGTTTTAATTGTTGAACATATCGCATAAATACCAAAAAATATGTTCATCATTTTACCCTACGGCAAATAGTCAAAATCGATTTACTCAGTTGCGTGAATTTTGACGTCTGGGAGTTGACTGTAACGTCGAAGAAGTCATGGATAAAATATGAAAAAGGCATACAAATGGGTTTTATCCAAGTTCTCTAAAAGCGGGTGAGATATTAAAGTTATCCCTGAAATCTGGTGAAAAGTTTTTTACACGCACACACATATACATTTTTGGACTGTTGAAAGAGCTAACAAAAAGAAGAAATTCATAGTGCTTTGAATGAAATAAATGATGAATCGTGCAGACATGTTCAGACGCAGTTCGATCGAGCTGAAACAAGTGCTTACGCTTTTTGAACAACAAGAGCAAAAGAAACAGAGAAAAAGAGAAAGAATAGACCAATAATATTCGATTTAATCGTCTAAAATTCCATCAGACTTTTTTTTTACGGTGGAGTTTGAATTAAATTTTCTTCAAAGTCCATTGACTTTGGGTTTTCATTTCGATTTGGATTTCGACCGAGTTGAAATTGGAATTGAAAATGATGCAGCACCGGATTTTCTTATTTCCGAATATCCCAAGCTGAATACTGATGATGTAATGACAAAGAGGTCCAGTTTGTTTGTGCATGTTTTTACGCTTCACAGAACTGCGTTCCAGCTAATCTATCATTTCCAAGAATTTCTCTTCAATGACTTTGGCCATTCGAAAAATGTTATGCCAAACACAAAAGAATACGGACCACAAAAATGGTTGTTAAACGAATGTGAAGATTAATTATGTGGCACCAAACTATTTATTAACCACATTTATCTTGCCTTGCATTTTGTGTGATGCCACGGAAGATGAATGAAACGAAATGAATTGCCATTTTCGGTTTTCCTCCCAATCAGTTTATTGCGTTAAACGCTACGTATCGTATACACGTTTATGTTTTATGATGACAGCATTTTTATGAGTTGTATGTGAGAGAGCTGCCACAATGACATGACGGAAATTTCACCAATGAAGTCAAACTCAATCACCTTTCAAGACGAGAATATGTTAAAAAATCTGAAATCGACGTGCGTAACAAAAGTTTGTCGGTTTTTCGGCAAAGGTTATAAAATATACACACGTCCGCCAAGACGTGTATATGTGGATATGCCATCACCATTACGAAATATGTCGGGTAATAATAATAAACGCGGTTCTAAAAGGAAATTTTTGTATCATTTTCGAAGCGTCATTCTAATAAGCATGAAATTGCTTTGGTGAAAACGCCAATAAGCGCATTGAAAATGTTTTCTCTGAATAAGGCTCATTAATCACTTAATTGTTATCGATATAATTTGGCAAACAAAGTAATTTTGCTCATTATTACACAATGACAGAGAGAGAGAGAGAGAGAGAGAGAGAGAGAGAGAGAGAGAGAGAGAGAGAGAAACAAAGTCAAAGAAAAAAATAAAATCTCATTTGCCAATGCCGTCATTCGAATAATAATCAAAAAGCCATCATTTTAATCTGGTCTCTACGTGATTTGTGGTCTCATTTCCACTTGTATGTCCTTTTCCTCCATTCTTTATTTGCCTATCTCATTTTCGTTTTCTAGCCCACTCTAACTTTTGCAATTGTACTTATGTCTGCACATCCACTTAACCCGAAATGAAATGAAAAAAAAAATTATTCTCTTTATTTTTCAGATAAAACGTATGAATACAGAACCCATCAAAATACTTTAAGCAGATGATACTTCAGTGTCTACTTAATTTCATTCACTTAAACAAAGAGTTACAAACGCAGAAGTGCCAGAGAATTTGTTTTCGTTTCTGATAAATCACCAATGACATTGAGCGAGATAGAGATAGCGAGAGTGAGACAGAGTTTGCAAACATCAACAAAAACAAAGAGAACGGAAAAATATAGGTAACGAAAAAAAAAACCACAATATACACAATGTCAATTTTGAATGACGTTTTATTTTGAAAGCGAGAAGAAGAAAGGAAAAACGAATGAAATGACAATTGGAAAGTCAACAAACGAGAAAATGTGAAGAGATTTAGAATAGATAACGAATAATGGGGCGATGCAAGAGGGAAAGAAAAATCCAGAGTAAAGTTATAATGGATTATGAATGTTCCACTTAAAATTGGAAAATAGAGTCACGTTAACAAATAAAGAATATTTTACTAAAAATGCTAATTCTAAAGTGAATCTATGTATAAATCTATATTAGTACCTTCTGTTCTGTTCTCTTCTGATTGCTTTTTGGTTCGCTTTGTTTCGATAAAGTTCAATATCTATTCGTTCACTATCATTTGAACTCCTACTCGATTTTCCACTGTTCGCGCACACTAGATAATATATATTTTTTTACGATTATTTTCTGAAATGATTCACAAACTTTTCGTATTTTCACCGTTTTCATTTTCGTTCGAGCAATTCTCAGATGTACAAAGTTAAATAAGGTTACCAGCATCAATTTTCGAATTGTATGAATCCAGTGTCGAAATTTGTTGTTCTAACTGAATGCACACGAAAGATAACGTACATTCAAATCGACAGTTTCGTTTAACAGCACCATGTAGAGACGCTTTGCTCAATATTTTCCTTTCATTTTTTTTTCTCTCAACTTTTTTCACACTCGTCGTTTAACACAATCACATTATTTTCCTTACAAACGAAATGGAAATTTATATGATGATACTTTTTTTTCGGTGCAATTAAAACACATCTTGCGTTTGATGGTAATAATTATTGTGCTTTCGGCAAAACGTGAATATGTTTCATACATGAGATGCCTCTGATTTTACATTAAAACACAAACTAAGTGAATTGTTCATGTGCCGCAAGCAAAATGCATATAAATACACAAAGTGGAAAATCGTTTTACTTCCGTTTTCGACGTATTTATCTTTTATTGTGATTGAAACGGGCGCAATGTACATGATACACGTATCACATATTTGGCATCTTTCTGCAGATGAAAAAAAAACGAAAGAGATTACATTTCATGTTCCATTTTATATTTTGCTGGTTATTTTTCGCTCTATCCAACCATGAAGCGTTGTCGTCAAATTGTCTTTTTGAATTTTAGGAACTATAAATTAATAAGAAAACAACATCAAACAAAAAAATAATATATTTAGCAGAATAAAGATTTAAATAGCAGAAAAAAAATAATAAAATCGCTTGTTTAAGCAGAAGCACAAATATTTTGAAGCAGAAAAAATCTCTTCCTGCGAAAAAAAGATCTTTTTTCGCAGAACAGTGTGGATGCGAGGAAGAAGAACAAATTACTAAAAATGGTTCATGCTGCATACGGCGAATAGAGACCAGTTTTTTTTTATTCGAAATCAAAGTTAGACGAATGTAACTCATACAGACATGCTATCAAACAATATTTCTATTTTTAGATTAGCCTAAGCAAGTGTATTTAGATAAGTCAATTAATATGAACCATGTTGTAAAACCTTTCGGTAAAAATAAGGGTATTACACCATTTTTTGGGGAAAAGTGAGAATTACCATTCATATTTCTAACAACAATTATCTACATACTATTATATCAAAGACATAGCAGTTCGAATTTCTTGGAATTTAATAAACAACTCATTTTCATATCCAAATTTTACTCTATACTTCTTCATATACTATATACATATATTTGTTTTCTCTTCAAAGAATTAGAAATATTGACATATTTTTCTTTTGAAAAAGATAAGAACAAAGGATATCATAAGAATAAACAACAAAGGATATCAAATGTTTACTGATTATTAAATATCATATCGTATTGATACCTCAGATATTATGAAAACACGTTTAAAACACATCATAACATATATAAAGTTCCAAGCAGACATCTCAAAACCAAAACAAACAATATTATAACATAAAATATGTGTGTGTTGTTTAGATTAAATACATTATATATATAAAAAAAAAAGAGAAATATTAAATAGAAAGCCAAAGATCAAGCGAGAGAGAGAGACATAACACGCGGCCCATCACACACACTTCTCGGTGAAGCGGCTTAAAAATTATATTGTATATAAATTATATTGAAAATAATATAAATCATCATGGTACTGAGTCTATAATCACCTGACTATTGCAAGTAAAATTGTAAATAAGAGAGATAATTTATGAATAATAAATATATATATTCCTCTAGGGGAATGCAAATAACATTAAGGGAATTACTATATACAACCACACATACAAACACAGAGAGAGATATAAACACAGGGTCAATATTTTCAAAAACTTGATCGTAATAAAACTTGTAGCTTTCTCCACTTTCTTGTGTGTGCGAATTCACTCTTTTCATATTCGTATTGGCATGACCTTAATGGCGAGATTTATGTGCAAAATATTTAATCGCAACATGCATTTTCTCGCAAAACCAAACCAAATATGCGAATTGTATGCGAAGCGCTGAAGTATTATTAAGTATTTCGAAACGAGTCAAGTTTTCCATTCAACTCTTCTGAAACATTACAATGTTTATACAGACTAGTTGAATGGTATGGCAAACACACATCGCCATGGAAATATTGGGCGATGGTGATGGTAAGACAGCGCTTTTTCGGTTTTTCCATAATCAATCAATGTTATTATGTTTTTGAACATTTTGACTCTGAAAATATATCGACAATGTTGAGGGATTTAAGAGTATCGTTTAAAACTGTGCATGAATTATATATTGCTTGGTTGAACATTAAAATGTAAGCAATATATTTCGCGTCTATCGGCAACTGTACGATGTGAATATCAATATATATGTAACTGAAATGGTTATTTGTATATAAGAAAATGCAAGTAAAAGCCGATAATAATCTGATTATATATCACTCTCGGCCAAGTTTGATTGAAATGACATTGAAAACAACACGTACTACGTAAACGATACTAACAGATAAATTGCGTTTGAATGCTCGTAAAATGCACAAAAAAATGAATTGTTGAACTATTTTTCAAATAAAAAAAAATAATATTAAAAAAAACCAAACATATTATATTATAGCTCCAGATGTGTCATGTCTCTTCATGTACTATTTATTAACTATGTATTGACAAAAAAAAATGTGCAGAAATAGTATTTTCACAAAATGTTGTTCGTAGTTTGTACTATGTTTCAATTGGTGTCTAAATTTCCAACGAACTTGGTACATGAGCCATTTTCTCGATTTTCATGCGCACCATGAAATTGAGATATGGAACGATACCGCTTCATACCACTGAAAATGATGAAAATCGCTCATCCACATTAACATAACATTGACAATTTGTCCTTAACTAAAATTCAATATAGTTTCATAACATTTTCTTGGGTTTTGCGGTAAATGGGAGAATTTGAACAAAACAGAAATTAAAACATAAATGACTCCGTCGAGCCAAGGACTATAGCATTTTATAAAAGCCTCCGTTGTGGTCATTGTGCATATGCTAAACAACATGGATTGGGTTTTGAACACTCTAAACACTCTCACCACATCAAATTTAACGAACAAATTCCTGGGCATACATGACTCATTTGTTGCGTTATCATTCGCCCGTCTCCGTCACCATTGCCGCCATCGCACTAAAGCTGATGATAGGCGACGACAGCAACTATTTTCACGACATATGATGTACAGTTAAATTGCATTTTTGCTGTCAACTGTCATTAATTTCATTTTCAACCGTTTGTAATATACATTCTTGGTGTGAGAGAAAGCGATAAAGAATGACAGAAGAAAAGAAAAAATGCCCCATCGTGTTGTCACAAGACCTTTATATTCATAACCATTTTCCCCTATGTGACTGATAAATGATAAGTTTTTGATCTTTTAATGATTTAAAAAACAACGTGATTTATATAAAGAGCAAACATTCGATAAACTTATGTTTACTTTGCCAGTTACAAATCGTGCCATATATAATTGCAGACGCAATTCTAAATTCATTTCATGTGAGAGTTGCCGAGAAAATCCGTTTCACCTTGGTACACATGAGGTCGAGGGGTTGTAGAGCACTCAATCCACACATTCTTCTCTCTAATTTCCGTTTCTCTATGACAATACCATTGCACTCGGTGAATGCATCTAATACAGTTGGTGTGGAACCACTTGAATTTAATTCGATATTTCAACATCTTACTGAAAATACAGCAGAGAAGCCTATTAAAATCTCAACCAGAATGCTTACTCTCTCACTTCAAACAGGTGCATACTATAAATATTGTGATTTCCCCTATATCTTTGGTTCAAGCATCAAAACAGAACATCATTTCAAACACAAACACACACACACATTTAAACATATAAGATTAGAAATGATATATTTTCAAGAGGAAAAAATTGAGAATTGAAACAATGCCAACGTTTGAACAGTGACTTATGGTCAAAAGATATATAATATAGAATAAAAATGTGACCGTATTTCGATTTTAAGTTTTCTCTTCTTCTCCACTTTTTATTGTTGGCATTGTTTCACACGTAACTTCGCCAATTCAATTTACAAATATACTTTTTAAAAGAAAATGAGTAAAAAAAAGAGATGTCAATAATAATAAATTTTAGAGCCAATCAAACCTCTTTAATCTAGTCGTTAATTGAACTGTTTCTTACGTGTCAAAGTTCACCAAAAACATAATAATAAATAAACATTTATATCTGGATCGAGATAAAATACGTACATGGAATAAATGGAATGCAAAACTTGGTCATACGAACAATTTCGATTAAGGTGCCAATGCCAAAATACAGATGTTAACGTTTTAAATTCGTATGCATTAATGTTAAGTATCCCAATTTACGGCGTATGGCTCAACACTTTTCGAAACTGTTTATATGACTATCATTTGATAATGTGCCAAGAGACTTCGAGTCTATGTGTGATTAACAAATGTAAACAAAGTTAAAATGGATTGGATGGTCTATATGTTTTGCAGAGGTGTTTCACCCTCTTAATCAAAAGAAAAGACAATTTATTGAATGTTACGATGTTAAAAGATAAAGTTTAAAAAAAATACATTAAAATCCAATCAATTTCAAATAAAAAAAAATATGTGTTGTTATAAAATTGCACCATCTCTTTTATTTCGCTTCTTTTTATGTAATTCACTCTAAAACTTTATATATGCCCTTTCTTGTTTGTTCTTTTAAACTGAAAATTTCCACTGAAGTGTCCAACTGTACCTGAACCTTTGATTTGATGACTCGATACAGTCGCCGCCCAATGGTTCTTACCTTTTACAGCAACTCAAAGGTGAATAGCCCTTTGAACTTCGCTACCACACTGTATGTCAAAGAATGCAAGAAAATACACAGAGTTTTCATTCTTTTTTTAGAATTTCGTTCCTTTATTTCTTATTGGTTCTTGTTAATGTTAATAGTAATATTAATTGCCTTCTTGTTTTTTTATCCAATTAATATTATTGATTATAAAATAAATTACCAATGAATTTTTTTTTTTGAATTTTTAATTTTTTTTTTTTTTCAATTTACCGAATGGTTCAATGTTTTGTTTTGCGGCCAAGTAAATTGTGGAATTTGTTGCAAAAAATTTCATTCAAAGCATTAACAAATGTGGTTGTTTTTTTTATTTTTCTTGTCTGATATTGATATAACATGACATTTTGCTGATTAGATTGAGTATAGAGTTTGTTTGTTTTTTCTCAGCATTTTATGTTGTGAAGTGATGAGAATTGAGTAGTTTGTATTTGTTAGAATTAATGAATTGATTTTTAATCGGATTATTCTTTCCATTTTTCTCTTTTGTTTTTTTTTTCTTTTCATTCACAATTATTTGTTTGTTTTAAAACTCTCTTCATGCAATAACAAAAATTGATGTGTTTGTGTGTGATTCATTTTCTTTTTATCTCTTAACTCTTGTGTATAACGAAAGGTGAGTATAAATTTAACGTTTGCCGGGATGTACATTGTGTGAAAGCATTTCTTCATTCGCAAGTTTACCGCGGAAATCGGCCATCAAGTTTCGACAAGTTGTCGCCAAGTCAGCTAATTGGGAAAAGATCTCCTCACCGCGTTTACTATAAGCTGTAAATAAAAGAGAAAAATAAATATTTTGAATCGAATTTTTCTATTTGGATGGGTGTGATTTCAGCCTACCGTCTTGATCATAGTCCACATTATTTGTCATGTTATACAGATCGATTGTTTCTGGTACAAGTTGTGTCAAAAATTCGTTGATAGCTTTGTGTTGATCAACAACGATTTCTTCGGCTTGCTGAATTTCCGATATGGCTGCATGCTGGTTGAGTAAATCATCGGACATATCGTGTTCCTGTGTTTGAAGAATGATTTTAAAAATGGAAATGATTGCAATTTTGGATTGAAATTGGATTTTATTTGGTGTACTTACACTGAGCGATCGTAAGTGTGCATATTCATTTTCGTTTGTGTCACCATTTTTGTGATTGTCATCGGATTCCATTTCTTCGACGTCATCGTTTCGCATTTCTGGATCTTGTACGACCAATTCTTTGACACGATTTGCATACCGCAATGTATTCAATGTGTGTTCACATGAATTTAGACCGGGCGATATCATGGCAATCATACAGGTTTTACTTTTTTCACCAATAAACGAATCTCGCAACACTTGTGTCAATTTACTAACACGGAATGGCAAATGTGCATTTTGTTTACCTAATGCTCTGATACATTCTTTCAATGCTAATAGTGATTTATTGATTTCGGCACCTTCCATGCGTGTTTGCCGATTGGCCGATGATGTATCAGCGCCACGTTCATTTCCGGCCAAATCGATAAATGAGAATTTACCGTGAATACGTGTTGAGCCCGGTGGTCGTAATACAATTTGGAATACAGCATGCGATCGCGATGAATTGGCATTGGCTGATGTTTGACCTGAGGTACGTGTCACATTACCATGCTGAATTAATTTCAATACTTCTTCGACACTATCGACGACCTTTTCCGTTAAACCGACCACTTGCACTTGCTGCTTACCATCTTCGAGTACTCGAAGCTTTTGCTTGTCGCCGAGCAAATCGAATACCTGAAATTAAAATCCAAAAAAAAACCAATGAAATTCCATTTGGCAACGAACGGCTTTGAAATGCAATACAAATACATACCTTTCCACTGTAAATTTCAAAGAAGCTGCACGAAATCATTAAGTTCAAATGACGATACTTTGGACCATTAAGCAAACTAAATACATCTTTAGTGGCCATTGCGTAAATACCATTTTTACAGTCTTGAGTTTTTCCATTAAATTGTCCGCCCATCGTATGCGTTTTTCCCGAACCAGTTTGACCGTATGCAAAGCATGTTGCCATGCCACCCTCAAAAATGGTTTTAACCAAAGGCTTTGCGGTATATTTGTAGACCAATTCGTTTGTGCATGAGTCATCGAATGCATAGTCGAAACGGAATTTATGATTTTCCAAATACTTGGTTAAGTCGACTTTTGTCTTCGGTTCGTGAACAATTAATTGATCTTTGTTCGGCACCGATATAACGTCCAATTCTTTTTTCATCACTTCTTTACGACTGACTGGACGCTTGCGCACACACACCGTTATTTGATGATCTTCAATGGCTTGACCATCGGTCAATGGTCGGAAATCAATTTGACTCTGGTACTCACTGCATCGTATGCACGAAAATTAAAAAAAAACAAACATTTTATTATTTTTCACAATTCGTAAGAGTTGGAAAAAAAATGAAAACTTACCGTATCATGGCGGCCAATTCCCAATTTGGATTGCCTGGATCCATGTTCATCAGCGCGTTTTTCTGTTCTTTCATTTCGGCTTGTTGTGCTCGTCGTTTTTCACGATTTTCCTTCAATCGCTCGACCTCTTTAACCACATAAGATCGTCGTCCGGTTGGATTAGTTGCAGTTGTTTGAATAACGGGAGCTGGTGCGGGCGCCGGTTGTACCATCGACATTCTGGATGTGTTTCGAATTGACGATGTTTTTGTGGGTAATTGTGACTGTGGTGGAATATTTTCGATGTGATCGCCTTGACCGTTTTGATTGGTAGTCGTTCGGGCCGTTCGATTACCTGTACAAAATGCACACAAAAGAAAACGTCCCATCATTTGTTCAACGTAATTTAACAATGGAAACCCCATGCGTTTCAAATAAAAATAAAAAAAACCATCCACGTCAACTTTTGCAAAATAAAATTAGTTCATTCATTGAATTTTTTCGGCAAAGAACAAACAAAGAAAATTCATTATTTTCAAATGAACGCGCAGTGCACACTAGAAAATCTTATTATATGTGTTGAATTGAGGAACCGTTATGAAAATCTAACACCGATTCTATGAAAATGGTCAATTAGACGATAAACTTCGACATGATATACATAATAATTCGTTCGAAAAGTTCAATAAACTGTACGAAAATAAATAAAATGTTCGATATTGGCTGTTTTTCTTTTCAATGAAAAAAAAATCCATTTATTGTTGCTTCTAGAGTCGCAACTGGTACACATTTCATTTATTTATGTGAGTTTGATACACTTTGCTTTGATAACCGACATTTTAACGCCACAAAAGAAAAATACAACGGCAATTTTCCATATTTTTAAACAAATTCTCTTCTCGATACTGCTATTTTTTACGTCTTCAACAATCAATCAATCGGATCAAATCAATTCAACAAAAAAAAAAAGATCGATGGAAAATAACGAAAAACTTTTCACATTTAACACAACACATTTATATAGATATATTACAATGTAGTGTGTTGTTGAAAAAAGAATTCATAGTAACAAATAATTTGAGTACAACAGAATTGAAATGAAGTGTACGTAAAATGCGTCGCCGCCCCACTTTGGTTTTTTGACCGTTGAGCATAATGCGCGTAACGTTAGCAACGAGAATGAAAACCAAAAGAAGCGTTAGTTTGTTTATTTGCAACAAAATAAAGAAAGCATCGACAAAATGACCATAAATGGTGAACACGGTGCAGTTCACACGATTTTTTAAAAAGAAAATACTATTTATAAATTTATGGCCGTTACTTTTCGATCAATTCAAGTAGAACTATACGCATACAAAATGTTCAATTACCGTATGTGCACGGTGTGTATGTGTCTCTTAATAACTGATATTTATCCATTTTATCGAATCCAATCTAATTCAATGCATTTGTTAATGGCCATATACCAATTTCACTGTGCAAGCAATATACACCGATTGCTTGAAAATTGGTTTGAGATTGGAAACGGTTATACACCGTTTCTATTAATTTTCTTCGTATGGTTTTGCATCGATTACACGTTTAGTTTTCCGGTTAAATTGCTCTATATATGGATATGGTTTTTGTTTCATTTTAAGTGAAAACTACTAAGGTGTACACTGTACACACATGTATCTATTTCCAAATGGGCCATAATCAAAAGGGAGAGAGAGAGAAATAGATACACACGGATACTAAATATATGAACATTATTCGTTTTACATTTTTAATGGATATCATTCACGGTCATGGTGGTCACATATTCGATTCGTGGCTGCCATGACCTCTGTGAAATACACACCATGTTGGCTGAATAAAAAAATGTCATTTTTCATTTGCTACGAATCAGATTGATGATTGGTCTGATTCAAAGTGATGTGAGTGAAAAATGGAAATGAGACCATGATTGAACACCATATTGCGTAGATTTTCCAGCACTTGAATACATACACATTCACATAGTCACACGATTCTCCAATGGAATGTCGTGTCGAGGAAGCTAGAACATCCTTTTCAGAACAGATAAATGAAACAATGCACACATTGTATGCATTCAATTCACGATGTTTCTCGCTCGGCACGAATCGAAATAATCCAAATGTGGATAAAACATGCCGTTCTACCAAGGCAATGATAGTGAATATATTTTATATACAAACGCCCATGAAAACAAATACTCGCATTAATTACACTCTTTCACAACACAAATAATTAGTAGATGTGTTCGTTGTTTTATTTTCATTTTCTCAATCGGTTGATTTATCGATGCGATACATCTGTTTTCAAAGGAATGTATTCAACGTCTGATATGGTTAGAAAAAAAAGGCACACACTATTGAAACATGCCATAAATCATAGATAGTAAATACACGCAGAGTACACATCACAAACGGCTTCTGTCGAACAATCGAACGATTGAAACTTTGAAACCGATACAAAATCGATAAAGTAATTGCGGTAGCGCATGCAAATCACCGTTTACATTTTCTCTTTTTAACCGAGAGAATATCGGTAAACAGATACTGTAATAAAATTGATCAGCTGATTGTAAGCTGGCGTAATACATTTTCTATCGTTTTCGTTTTTCAAACCAAAAATAAAAAAAAAATATCCACACGCTTTTTCCGTTCTGATAAAAATGATTTATACGAACGGGGCTTAGGTTTCACGTCGCCTTTCGTTCGATACTAAAAAATACAGTCGTTTACTCACTTTTATTGCTTTTTAGTTGCTTTGAATCGATTTTCATTTTGAATACACTCACGCAAATATCACATACGCGTTAAATTGCAAATCAATCCAAATCGAAATCGCATTAGACACTTGTTTCTTTCTGTGCTTGTCTTCTCACTTTGTGTGCTTGTGTGTCAATATTATCTTCGGTAAATCCACTTACCACAATTGTTCACGAAAAATGCACAATGAAAAATTTAAAATTCGTTTTTTGTTGCCCAACTCTTTACACAGAGGGTACGTTTTGTTTAGAATACGAAATAAAACCGAAACAATAAACAGTAAATTTCGGCAATTCAAAACGGTTTTCTTCACATTTGGCGTTGAATATTGTGTTGTTGACAACGGGGGCTAATTGTTGTTGATACAAGAGGACACACGGTGTATGCACGTCTGACTTGGTTTCGGGTTGAACAACGTTTGTTGCATGTGATGATTTGGTAGCAGCAATCAAATGGAAAAACACGACGCGTTCAATTCGAATCGAATCGATTTATTACGACAAATCCATATATAGTATATATTGAAAGTTGTTTCATGCGACAACATAAAAGCTCATTTTCGATTTTTTTTTTCTTTCTACGTTCACTTTTTTATGCAAAGAGTGAAAGACTGATGTGCAATTTGTGTAATGAGTTTGTTATTTGACGATACGATCGAATCGTATTCGATTTGAATGTGATGTATGACTGGTAATGTACGTTATCGAAGTGGCTTCCACGTACCGTGATGAAAATATTAACTGATTTGGATTTCAACTATCCGAGCTGGTAAAACACTCTATACAACCAGACGTTCGGGCAAGCGGAACGCTCGTGGCCGTGGTAACCAACATACCGTAAACAAAAAAAAAAGTGTACGTACCGAACCATTTGTCCAATCGCACAATGAAAATCAAAGTGTTGAATAAATGCTGTTTTTTTATCCCTCATACGTACATTCTGGTCGATTCTCGTGCTTGCTTTGCTTTTGCCGTATTTGAGTTGCGTACAGAGCGCGCAATGTACTGAACCATATATTAATTGCTTCGATTCGTGCTTCTAATAAAGCATTTTTTTATACTTTGTAATAACAGCAATTTGAAATGCACAAGAGACGTTTCGTCTGCTAAAATCGTGCACACAATTCAATTTTAACTCGGTTTGTTTGGTCACTTTGGAACATGCATGTCTCTTTTCTCTCTCGTTTGGTTGCCGTTGTGTTTTTGTGTGCTGGTCGGAAAATTGTGGTACGTGGCACTTTATTTACACACTGTGAGTGAATTTTGCGCGCACGTGTGAATAAAAATGTAGGTGGTCATGTTGCGGAAAATCCAACACAAATTAAATGCGATTGACAATGGTGGCAGCGATAAAATCACTGGCGGAAAAATCCCAACGCTTTTTTTCGATTCGACAGAATTCGTCTGCGTTGTTTTTTTTATATTTATATTATTGTCTTACTGTGTTCCACATTTGGCGTAATAATTATATAAATTTGCAATTGAAATTGCACTTGGACACCTTTTGAACATGAATATATTGGTCAAGATCAATATAGAATTTGGCGTGAAGAGATATGCATTTTTAGTTCAATGCTGCACTTGTAAAGCACATGTTGTAAAACGAATGTTTTACGATTCCGTAATTATGCTTACACATTTATGCATTCACCGAAACGCCGGCGAATAGACTCAAGCGACGTCATTTCATCCTACATTGTTGAAATGAATGATTTGGCTTTTATTACTTCGAAACTTTCGATTGCGACGAAAGTGTTTTGTTACTTTTTCGACAATTTCTTATCCCGTAATTAAGAGTCATTTGTATGCTTTTTTGAAAATTCCATTGTTTAATCATACTCGACGACAAAAGCACACGATTTGGCATGAATTTCTCCGGTCAATTGACCAATTTACTGATTTTTTTTCCCTCACACTCGTTGTGACTCGATTTCATGCGGTAATTAAAATCATGAGCATAGCCACCTAATTACAGCACTTATGATATGTTCGTGCGACTCGACAAAAAAAATGTTCGAAAAAAACCATTTCGAAGGACTCGTGTTTGCTGCTTACATGGTTGAAAAGAAAACGTTGATGTTGAATGCGCTAAGAAATATGTAAGTAAATTTGAACTATCACAAGCATTTCCATGATTTATTCACAAAGTCAGAAGCAATGTACATATTTTATGGTGTTGTCGCATTTAAACCGTTTGGTTTGTTGATGGTGGGTAAAATGGGGTCTGTCGATTGACCTAAATGCGGCTAATGTCCACTGACAATATTGAAATATTGTTTGATTCGTGTTATCGAAATGAAAGTGAAATGAACAGTCATGGCCAATGAATGAAATATAATCGAAAATCGGGTTTTTCGAGTCGCATCAGGCCGACTCACAGGCTATGACAGTTATATCGAATAAAAAATAAATAAATATCCTTTTTCGATTGTACTAGAAAGATATGCGTGCTGCAAATGTTGACGTTAATAGCAATTTGGGGCCTATTTAACATGAGCTTAAATTGTTTGTATTAAAACAACTTGAAACGTATTTACTCACCATTTGATGCATAACTCATAGAATGTTGATTTCCAGTTCCTCGATTAAACCTAATGTTTCCTTGTGTCGCATCCTGTAAAAACAAAATAAGACCATTTAAATTTGTCAATACCGCCACTGAATTTATATTGAACGAATAACACAGCACATGAATTTTTTATGAGAGCGTGTATAATACAATTTCAGCGCACACACACATACATCCACATACAAAAGATCAATTTGCATATCAAGAAAAGGAATAATATTTTGGCTTTCCCACTGTGTGATTTATAGCTACATTACAAAGAAATTGAACCGAGAAAGACAGGGAGAGAGAAAGAAAGAATGTATGTAAAATGTAAATGCTCCGGTATTTGACTCGAAAACCTTGATAGATGATTTGAATTTCAATCAATTTGCATGCAATCATACAAAGATTCAAATCACTTATCAAGGCTTATTTCACGTGAACAAATCACTACCCAATATAATACTGCTGTACATTTTGATTCTCCATAAGCGCTTACTTATTGAGAATCGGAGTGCGAGTTTTGTGCAAAAAGTATGTGTGTGTGTGTGCTCCTTAATAAAAGTCAATTTTCATATAAATTCAAATCAGATATAATTTAATCAAAATAATAATTTCATTTTGAGGCGTAAAAAAAGAAGCAAACCAAACGCATATCCAATCTACAAACCAAGGTAACGTCAACAAAACCAAATCAAAAGGAAAAAATATGTCACAAAAGATATTGCTGTACAAAAAATAAGCAGTGAACCGTATAAAAAACGTGGCCGCCAGAGTGAGACCGTATAAAAAAAACGGAAGAACGAAGGAGCAAAACAAAAAAAAAGTTTAAAGGAAAAAAAATCGCAAAGTATTAAAAACATGAAAACTGGACGAACATTGATAACAACAGGCTTGCTTTTTTTAGATACCGATTTGGTGTTTCGGATGGATAATGTGGCGCCGCTACCGTTATTCGATATGGATTGGCCGGAAGTTTTCTCAGTGGACATAACCATTGCAGTTGGGAGTTGGCCATCTTCATCATAATAGCTATCTTCTTCGTCTTCATCGTCGTCGCACTGCTCATCCGATGAATTTGTGGTTTGGTCCTTTGGGTGGTTTCATTTTTTTTTATTTTTAGGGGTTTTTTGTACGCGTAAATTCATTATTATACTTTAAAATATTCAATTCAATCACAAACTAAACTCTATAACTTTTGCTATTGACCTCCAATTCGGTCTATTTTGCAATGAAAATGATAATCGTGTAATTCTAGCGAATGAAAAATAAAAACCAATTTCGATTTATTTTTAAAAGCTGGCGAAGAAATGGCGAAAGCAAGCCAATCAAATTCCATTTGCACCCCATATAAAATGGTTCATAAAAATGCTCCTTGACCATATTGCTCACTTACCGAATCGAGGTAGAAAAAAATTTGAAACATCTGTTTCAACCACTTGATAAAAAATTAAATGGAATTTTTTCTCTCTTCTTGTTCACTCAAACTAAATAGCAACCATTCTCTCGTTGTATGATGGCAATATTAGTTTGGAATTTGAAAGCAGAAGAAAATACCGTAAAATAAGTCGGCACTTTATGAAACAGCACTTGAAGTATTCATTTCCGTCCGACACAATGCAAAATGCTTTCTGGATTATCGCCATCGAAAAACTGATCCTAGCAACATGTCAACAGTGACGTTAGTTACACAGAACATGGGGCGCTATGGAAACGCTGACTTGAATTTTGTGTCACGAAAATTGCAGTTGTGTGTTTACAATATAAAAAGTAACGCAATCTAAAATACTTTTTTAATACTTGAAAATAACAGCGAGCGAAGAAAAAAAAATCAATAAACTAATTAACGACAAGTGAGGCAAGTCGAATGGAAGAAATTTTCCAGCGAAAAATTCGCTTTTTTTACAGTACATGAAACAATTAATAACGCGAGTGAAACTTCAGCGGAGAAAAGAAAACGAAAAAAAAATAATAGAATATATAAGTACTCACTCTCGTCAAGGCATTCGATGATGTTTGTTTGATAATTTTAGGCATGGATGCGGCCAATTCCTCTTGTTGAGCTAATTCGGCATTCAATTGAAGAATTGTATCCAGCTCGATTTCTTTTCCTTTTGTTTCGTTACGTTCGTACCATTCAACGGTAACTGAACGCGCTTCATAGTTTATTTTCGATACCATAGCCGAATGTATCCGACCTAAAAAGAAAGAAATACATTGAAAAAATTAGCCCACATGATTTTTCTAGCAAAATATAAAAAAAAAATCCAAAGCTGATGTAAGAAATAATAATCTAGAAATTCTCTGTCATTGTTATGATTCAGATTTTGCACATGTTTGCCAATATTCTGAGTTTTTCTCTCTCTATTTTGTTTTATTTCATCATTTCGATCTTACAAAACTCACTTTCACTATCACAGTTTGCGTCATCGACCGCGCTATCTCTCGACGCCGACACCGCTGTTAATTTATTATTGGCGTGATTGTGCCGGTTGTCGGGAGCCGAAGATGTACAATCGTAAGTTTGATTTATAGCGCCGACCGATCGTTTTGTATCAACAACCACCACCGTCGGCGACGCCGCCACCGCCGCCGTCGCCGCCGTCGCCGTCGTCGTTGTGTTTTTATCAGTGTTGTTGATTTTTTCTTCTTTTATGCACCGTAGCGCACAATTGTTTTGACTTATTAAAACTTGGTCACGCCACTTCGCGTAATCATGGTATGCATTCACATCACTTTTATTACGGAAATGTTCATTTTTTAAATCGTTGCGAATTTTCTGAATGGGTGACTTTATATTATTTGTGATGCGTTCATTGTTAATGTTTTCGCACAGTTCTTGTAAATCTTTTGACGCTGAATTTGGTTGTTGGCTCTTTGTAATGACCAAGTTATTAATTAAATCCTTTTTTAATACTTGAAAGCGCTTTTTGATCCACGAAGGCATTTTGACAACGACGATGTCCTAATTTAATTTTCTATCAAAGTCGAACAGAAAACAACAGCCGAACAGAAAACCCTTTCACTCTCTATTTGAAGAAAAGCACTTAACGCACTGCCATTTCAGTAATAATAACAACAAATAACAAACTTTTATTTTCAAAGCGGCACACCGACTCTCTCGACAAACATTCACTCACTGTTTGATCAATAAATTTAATGATACAACACAAATTAGTCAACTTTTGTTGTTGCCATTATTTTTTCTTCTTCTTTGAATCGTTTCAATCTCACTGAAATATTGTTGCTGAAAGCAAATTTTTTGTTCGATGCTTCGTCAAACGATGTCTGAATTGAACTGTGTCTCAATTATTTAATGTGAAGTTGATATTTCCGATCGAAACCGTGAATGTTTTTTTATTGTTGTAAATCCATGCAATCGTTGTTCGGTGTATATTTTAAAGCATTGGCTGCACCAGTGTAGTTCGAATTTGATAAGTCGACATCGAGGTTATCAATTTTATGGCGAAAAAAATACATATTAGCATCGACTACATAGTCGAGAAGCTCAATGAATTATATAGGCAACCGTAACGGCACCACCACCACCACATGATAATAAACAAACATAATTGTTGATATCATTAATACTTTTATTGGCTGGAACGTGGGATTTTTTGCATTTTCAATGTTTCTATTTCGTTTGAATTTATATAATTTTTTGAGTCAGCCAAATCGGTCGTGATTTATATTACTTTTTGGAAACATTGCATCACCTTGAAATACGTAGATAACCTATTAAATATTAAGTGTTTTTGTATTTTTATTCGTTCAAAATAATCACTGACCTATGCGCAATTTTGTTGTGCAAAATGTCCGGATTTGTTTTGAATTTGTGACAAATTGTGCTGGAGAGAATGATTTCAACGCATTCAATAGATGCACCATGAATGCTGATCAAATTATGTCATCGAATAGCGATTGAAAGTGGATCGATTCTTTTATTTCAATTTTACGTCATTATGATAATGCTTTGCCTGTATCAATTTCGCATTATATTTGAAAAAAAAAGAAGTACACAATCGTTTGATGATTATTTCAATTGATATGTCTCTACAAATAGTAATCGTACGATGTGGTTATGGATCAAATGTGCCAGTCGGTATTGCGATAGTATTCTTTTATTTCGCAAGGAACAATTGAAAATAGATGACGTAGACAATACAAATATGGTTCTCATCTAGTGTGTGGATCAATAATGAAATTAACGTTGTGTCGAGCCCACAAAATGTGTTTTGTTTTCACATTGAGAAATAGTGAAGGGGTTTTTTCTTTGCGCATTCATGATAGATACTGTTATCATCATGAACAATTGTCTAGACTAAAGGCATAATCGACATTTGAATTGCGTTCGACACTAACAAGAGCCGATATAAAAAGAACAGACACTAATCATGTTAATGTGAGTCGCGTGTTTGTATACATACTCGTTAGATGGGATTTAATAAATTGAATCATTTGGGAAAATCAAATTAGGTTTGACACTTGCATAACAAGTCGGCTCATCTCGATACTGTTTACCAAACAGATTTCTCTCTTAGTGATCTCAACAACTCGAGCAAATCACGATACGAAGAGAGAGAAAATCGTCAACTGAGTACGGTCGATACTAAACGAGCGCTCATCGTCTGACTCCAGCTAATTGGCTAATTGTGCCAGAAAATTTTATTAATTAACACATACGAATGATTTGTGTTCAATTACTGGGTTACTTTTTTTTAAATGAATTTACGATGAAAACGGGTCACGATGTTTCGCCGAACAACGCATTACAGCGCTCTTCTGCTGCCTAAATTGAATTATTTCTCAGGACAAACAATTTGTTCAAAGTGTGCGACCGGCAAAGCGAGAAAGAGATACCAAAAGTGAAAGAGTGATTCAGTTTAAATTGGGTTTATTTACTGGATCTATTATTTGAAATTGGGGCTCTTAACCGGAAATTTCCAAAGAATTCACAACGCAATACTCATTGTATTTATTGTGATCGAAACGATATAAAATATGCGCCTGCACGTATATGTCACCAGTTATTTTTTCTTCTTGTTGTTTTGTTTTCGACGCACGTTCTTATTTGTGTGGGGCTTTATTTTTGTTATTTTTTCGCTTCAATTTCAGTTCTGATCGGGGCACATTGAAGTGCAGCGTAAAACGAAGCAGTGGTAATGCCATTGCCAATTATGTGTGAGTTGCCGCTACGACATTTACTTTTAGCTCGTATAACAGCCACATGTTTGTATTTTATTTATAGTGAAAAGACCGAAAGAGTGAGAATCAAGCGCCAAAATGATACAAACACACTGAAAAAGATACTTGTTTATTTGCGCTTGTATTTCTTTGGCTATATAAGAGCACAAGAAAATTGGCCTGTGAGTCATTACGTTGAGTATGCGAACAATCGTGCAAACGGACGCCACAACGGGTTTTTAGATGCGAATGAACGAAAATAGATGATTAATTCGCAACCGATGTGCAAAAAGAAAACAAGCCAAAATAACATGTCACAACACGAATACAGTTGAAACATGACCGTCAATCACAACAATTTCCACGTTTAAAAATAGAACAACATAAAACAGTTGAAGACCCCAAAATGGTTCATTTCGACCGAATCTCAATTTGTCGTACGGATACCAAGTGTATCCGTACAGGATTACGGTGCAATTTTCTTTTCTTCTATTTTTCTCTCTCTCTCTCGTCGTTTGATGAATTAAGGTATACGTAGGTTTTCATGAGCACACTGGAAAAGGTTCGAGTGAAAGAGCGAGCAATGCGGAATCAAGGCATTAATTAATTGACTTTTAAATAGAATACCCCCATCCTTACAATTCAATACACGAAACTAGATTAGCATCACTCGTGCACACACTCCAAATAGAAATAATACAAGCAACATTCCAAAGTTGGATTAAACACGATGTGCTTTGAATCGAGTCATGAGTCGGTTGCGATTTCATTTATCATTTTCAATGGCATCACACAAAAATGTGTCATCACAACCGTACGACATTTTAAAGCGTGCAACGGATTATGACATTCCCACATTCACCTGTACTTCCATCAATAATTCCATTTCTGATTATTTTATATTATTATCAGCAAAATGCCGTTGTATTCTATTCATGATGAGCTGTTTTTTCTGATTTTAATCTTATAAACTAATAATAATCATTTGTTGATTAGAGTTTATGCGAAAATTGAGATTACTCCATTTATTACGTTGCATTTGATGACAGGGTTTTGAATCTTGATACATTTTATGATAAACACTTTATCTTTTTTTCATCTTTTCTTCTCTTTTCCAGATTCTTTTTATTTTGCTTGATTTAAATAAATTTTTCATCACAACTAAATATATACTGTATTGGTTGAAAAAAAAAATTCAAATAATTTTTTTTTTGCTTTTGTCGAACATGATTAATAGTTTATGCCAAAATGAGTTAAATCATTTCTTAGATGTCATCGTTAAATATTCCGTTGTTATGTTAAATCATTAATAAAGGCACATGGCTGAATATATGTATTAAATGGACAGCAATTAAATATCACTTATAGATGTTAGATTGAAATTTAATGAAACGGAATATTTCAGATGTCAAAATAAATGAATGGCATGGAACTTATGATTCTACACCGCATAAATTCTCTGCCATGCTGTCGAGCATATACTTTCGAATACTCTTCGTTTTGAATAAAACAGGCGTTTCCCATATTTTGGCAGAGAGAAAGATATGGTGAACGGAAGAATGGCATATGTTAGAGCGTAGCAAAAGATTATTATGTTATAACAATGAAATCGTATATGGGTTTTCATCTCAGACCATAGTGATAATAGTTTAAGCCCTTGAGATTGTTCTGACGCAGATTATATAGTTGTCATTTCGGTGTGTGCAATATCTTTTCGGAAATGAACGCAATACACGTTGGGTTCATAAATTCACCGAATTACCATAGCTTGTGAAAATAACAATTTTCTCCGATTATCAGGTATACAATGTGTGCTTGCATGTTGCATCACATAGTCATTAGCATAGTCAGGCACCGAATGTATGACCAGTTTCAAAAGGTAAATTGTATATTGTGGACAGATGAGACGTTTATATGGAATGATGCTGTGATGATAGGCCTCGTTTGTATTTGTTTGCGTTGTTGGCCAACAAAGTAATATCAAACATCAAACAAAACCGAGAATGACAAAAAACGATGGCTTTAGAAACAATGGTTCAAAGAACAAATCTCATTCCTCAGAATCTCTGACTCAATCTCTCTCTTTCTCTCTCTTTTCACGTATTTCATTACACAGTGTGTTACGCTTAATTAACCATCACATAATTTGCTTCATTTTGTTCTCGAGTCGAGTCGACAAAATCTCGATTTTGTTTTACTGTTTGATGATGTTGATGTGTGTACAAATCACGCACATATAACGGCGTTCCGTTTTAATAACAGCAACAAATAAGCCTCGCGGTTCTGTTGAATGTGGTGTCTCTTCATTTTCTATTTCTCTGTCGGTGTGTCTATACACGCCTGTATGGTGTACATCTATTTGTTCTGTTTTCATGCTCGCATTTCAAAAACTGTTGTTTCATCCGTTGCGTTTGTTGTGGCGTCGTTTTTATTGATTATTCGCTTAGTTTTTGTGTTCTCTATTCTCTCTGTAGCCTCACTCTTTAATAAAGAGTCTTTATGTATTTTATGTGTGTGTGTACTTTTTTTTGTGTCCAACCGGACTGTTTCTCAGCTGTTTGCAGCGGTTTAAATCAAACAATTCTCTATAGATCAAATGCACACATATACATACCAACAGCAAACTATTGTATATAGTGGTGCACTTTGCCGTTTGTTCAATTATTTCTGTGCATAAATTAAACAAATAAATTGCATCTGCCATTCAATAGAACAATTCCGTGGCAATTGAGTGAATTGCGTTTCAATTTTTTTTCCTTCTTCTATTGATTAATTTTGAAAATAAAATACTCGATCGGAAATCGACCATCAAAAGTTTTCACATCATTCAGACCATTA